CAGCCCATCACCCAGCCCAGCACCCAGCCCATCACCCAGTCCATCACCCTGTCCATTCTGGCTGCACTGTGGCTGCCCTGAGTTCAGGGGAATGAAGCCTCAGTGTTGGCATGGGGGTGACATGAGGGAAAGGTGTCACAAATCCTTATCTCTGCTGGGATGGTGCCATGCTGCAGCCAGGGAGGTTTGTGTTCCTCAGATAAGAGATGTGTCGTCACAGGAAGGGTTCTGGAGTGTCTCATATCCTTGTGCAGGTGATTAGGATGCTGGTGACATCAGTGGCACTAATTGTACCCGAATGGCTGCACACGCACGAGACCCAGATATTCCAGTGAGTCTGTTCTGGAGCTTTGCAGTGGGCAGTGAGCCAGCTGGACCTAAGGGACTGTCACCAACCAAATCCTTCCTCTTTTAAGTGGGACTGACCTCCCAGCACCTGGGGGCTTTATGGAAATAAACTGGATCCCACACAGCACCGTGATTGAATTGGCACAGAACGAACCAGCTCCATCCAAGTTGGGCTTTCTCCTCCTCTGCACCTCTAATGTTTTGTTCTGCTGCTTTTGAACAGTTTTTTCCCCTCTGTTGGACGTGAGGAGGGTGAGGAGTGAGCACTCAGGACAGTCACACTGGGGTGTTTAGGGGATGAGGAGGTGACACCTCCAGCACTGCTGAGCTCACATTGCTTTGGTCACACACACAGACCAGGCAGGGCTGCTTTGGACTCTTCTGTCCAGTTTATCTCATGCATGGTCTGACAGGGCAGGCATCACTTTTCTGGGATTTCTTCACTATGTCTGGGAGTAAAGGTCTCCTCCCTTGCAGGTGTCTGGCACCCAAAATCATTTCCTTGTTGTGACCATCAACCAACCCAAAGAGCAGCATCCCTTCAGGAAGAAAACCAAAACGAGTTTAAATTCATTCTGTCAGGTACCTCAGCTGTGCAGTTGTTTGTGGCAAGGATCAAAGACTGAAATGTTGTCCTGGACTCAGGGTTTTGTCCTCGTGGAGGGCAGCAGGCTTCGGGTTCAGCTCTAGGTAGGGAATGTCTGCGAGGACTCAGACTCTCACTTCTCACCAGCTTCAGTTGTTCCAGGGAATGTTCACTTGGATGATCTCAGTTATTTTTAGTGAAGGGATATAAACTCTCCATGCTTGAGGCAGAGAAGGTGTTCTGCATCAAACCCCATTCAGAGAGAATCAATCCCAGGAGAAGGGAGCAGAATGAGGAGAAGCAGCCTGACCTGCAGTGCAAGGTGGTCCAAGACTCAATCTGAGCAGAAATCAGGTTGGGAAGGACATGTGGGGGTCCCTCCTGCTGCTTAAACAAGGCCAACCTCAAGAGAGGGGATTGTCCAGGGCATTTTCCAGCTGAATTCCATCTCCAAGGATGGAGACCCCTCAGCCTCCCTGGATCCCTGTTCCAGTATTTTGCTGTCCCACTGTGATTTTTCCTGTCCATGTCCTTTTGTCTCGTTTGCCAGACATGTCCATGAACAGCCCTGCTGTGTCCCCACTACTGGGGTGCAGGGTCTCCTTTAACCTCTTCTGCTCAGGCTAAACACACTCAATTTTGGGCAAAATTGGTTTGTTCTTTCCCATTTCCATACCCCCAGTTCCTCCAGCTCCCAGTGTGTGCTCCATCCCACCCTGCCCTCTCCGAGTCCCTGCCTTGGCTGCTTCCATTAAAACAACTGGAATGAGGTGTTTTGGAGTTATCCACCCTGCTTTAGTGTTCTCTGAGTTCTCTGAGTGTCCACACTCAGAGTTTCTTGGACGAGTGTTCAAAAGGAGCCCAAGCCACTGTGGGCCAGTAAATAATGGTGCTAATGCAGAGTGTGATTGAAACTCTCAGGGTTTCTGTACTGCAGATGCCATTAAATGGTCACCTGATGCTTAATACACCTTGGAGATTCCTACCAAGGGCTCCACCTGCCAACCTGCTGCCTGTGAGCAATGGCATGGCTCCAGCTGGGTGTGCTGGGGTGGTGCCAAACAGGCAGAGCTTCCCCAGCCTGCCCAGGCAGCAGGCTCGGGTGCAGTGGGGAGGTCCTGGCCTGGAAAAGCCACCAGGATTGCTGGGAGGAATGAATCCTCTCCTCCTGTGCTGTCACACAGGGCAGGAGCCTCATTCTGCCACTCTTGTTCTCCATGACCTTGGGCAAGGAGCCCAAATGTCAAAGGTGTCCTGTAGGTTGGGGACCAGTTAGGGACACCTCAGGCATGGCTGGGTGTGATGGGGAGCACCCACAGCTCTGTGTCAGTCAGAGGGAAGGAATCCAGCAGCTTTGGGGCAACACCAAACACCAGTTCCTCACCAAACACCAGTTCCTCACCCAGCACCAGTTCCTCACCCAGCACCAGTTCCTCACCAAACACCAGCTCCTCCTTTCCTCAGGAGCAAACACGAGCAGTCCTGGCCTGGCACAAGGCTCAGCACCCCTCTCATGGCTGCCACCTTCTCCTCTATCTAGGCCTGGCTCAGCACAGCCTGTGCTCTCCTGTCCTTGCAAACAGCAATCCCTTCACCCCATGAGGATCAGCCTGTGTGCACACACAAATATCCCTGCAGTGGTTGGTTATAGCCTGCAGGTCTGCTCTCTCTACAACCAATAAATAATCAAAAAAAGGTAAAAATATCCTAATTCTGTACAGGCTGGTGCTGAACTAATGTGATCCTCCTCAGGAGCCTCTGAGATCCTCCAAGAGTTCCTTCTGTGGAGCACATTAGTATTGCAATCCATTATGCACAGGGACAGGAGTCTGGAGAGGAAATGATTTGGAAAATGGAACAGACCCAGGTCCCAAACTATTTCTCATATGAAAGGCCAGAAATGTGGCATTTAAGGGATGCCAGTGGATATGAGCAACACCAGCATCCCTCTTGTTAATGTGCAATGAGGGGAAATCTCCTCCTGACACCTTCCCTGGGACCTGAGTCACATGTGTGACTCCTCACATGTTCCTTGTGCTGGGAGAAAAGAGCTTTTCAAACTCCATCACCTTTCAAGTGCCCCTGTCCTTTACAGCCCACACAAGCCACCCCTTTCCTGCTTTTCCTGAGGCTCAGGAGAGAACCTGGGGCTGCCCTAGGAAAATCAGGGCACTTCACACAGTAATTATTTCACTGTGTGCATGATATTCACAGAGGGGGGAAATAAATCTTGGAGCATCCACAGGGAAAACATTGGCTGCAGCTGGACTGGGTGACATTGCTTTTTCCTGGGAATAGCAGGGAGAGCTCAGCCATTAAAGCAAGCCCTGATGGGCACAGAGCTCAAGGTAGGCTCAGAGCTGTGTTGACATCAGCCCCTAGGAGCTGGTTAATCCATTTTTCTGCCTCTCCTTTAAAAAACCCTCCCAACACTGCTCGGGTTTGAGCTTTGTGCAGAAAAACCAGAGATTTCAGGATGTGGGGATCACACTCCTGATCTGAGTCAGTTTTAAAGGAGTTTGGCTTGGGCAGGGCAGTTTTGGAGTCACCTTTTGGAGGTGCCAGGGCCGGGGGCAGCAGTGGCTCCTGATGGAGGCAGTGCCAGGAGCAGTTTGTCTGCTCTGGGAAATGATGGAGAGGGACCATAACCCTGGGCTGGAGTGGATTAGAGAAAGCAGATGAGATACCCAACAACAGCCAGGCAAGCCTGGAAATACTTGCAGCAGATACACAGAAAGAAACAGACCTTTTAAGCCATATATTTAAATTTTATTATTATTGCTATCATTGCCTTTTTTCTCTGTTTATGATAGAAACCCAGCTACTTCTGGATTCACAGACTGTGCAAGTACAAATATTGAATTCTAGCTGTGTGGAAATACATCTTTTCCCTTTTTTTCTTGTCTCCCCAGGGCTCTGGCCGACATCCTAAGGCAGCAGGGACCAATCCCAATCGGACACTGTGAAAGAGAGACTATCTCGGCCATAGATACCTCCCCCAAAGAAAACACCCCAGTCAGGACCTCTTCCAAAAACCATTACACCCCAGTGCGCACCTCCAAGAGCAACCCAGGTAAGTGCTGCTCTCTCTGTGCCCTCAGAGCTGGGTGAGGAGCCAGCAGAACACCCCGTGTGACAGCAGGCTTTGTAAAATTCAAATTAGGATGGCAAATGGCTCGGGAAGGCAGCAGGCAGGGCAGGGATGGGTGGTGATGATTCTTGCAGGTTTCTGCTGAGCAGAGTGGTTCTTCTCTCCAGGCATTTTAAAAATTCACGACTGCTGAGGCTGGAATGCAGGTTGTAGCTGGAGATGGTGTTGAGCTGTGTGTTTCCTACAAAACACATCTGCTGTAAGGCATTACCGGGCTCCCTGCACCAGCAGCTGAGGAGAGAGGATCCCAAAGGGCTGGGGCTGCCTTGTTCAGGCAGGTGAACTGCAGGGATGCACTGGGATGCAGAAGGTGACCCAGAGGGATCCCAGCAGCTCAAAGAGGTGCTCCAAGAGCACTGGACTGGGAATTAAGGCACCTGTTGGGTTGTTTTCATCTTCTTTTCATAAAAAAAATTGAATTCTTTTTGCCTTGATTTCCCCAGTGACCCAGGGATTGCAGCCTCTTGGCTACAGGCATTGCTCTGATTTATTTCATGCTCCATGGATGGGTAATTGTCTTTGTTCAGTGGGGTGTGGCAGGTTCTCCATCACTGTTGGGCTGGATGTGTGGGACTCTCCTCCCCTCACGAGCTGTTCAGCTGCACAGGGAAGGTTCTGGTGGCATTTCCTACCCTGTGTCACCCAGCTGTGCTCATGGTTCCTGCTGGGGAAGGTTCTGGAGGAATCCAGTGGGAGCTGTGGGCTCAGGCAGGGCTGGTCTGTGATTGTTTGAAGGGTTTTGGTGCAATGTCCTCAGCCTGTGGACACAGGTGACAGCGTCCTCTGAAGCCTCCCCTGCTGTTGGGAACAGAACACTCCCTGAGAACTGAGAAGGATTCCTTTGCTTTCCCCTTTTCAGCCCGAAGCCAGGGAGCCCTGTGATCCTGTGTGTAAATTTGGATCTGTGAGATAAAACCTTGGTCTGGAGAACAGCCTTGAGGTGAACTGTGTGGAACACGGAGGTGCCTCTGCATATCTGAGGCTTGGAACTGGCTCTGGAGAGGATTTGTGGTTGTGCCCCAGGGTAGGAACACAAGGAATGAGGGATTATGGCCAGTGACCAGGGACCATCAGGGGACAGCTGTGACATCACCCTTAGGGTGACAAGAGTCCAGAGAACAACTCCTGAGGGCTGAGGGAGCTGGGAAGGGGCTCAGCCTGGAGAAAAGGAGGCTCAGGGGGAACTTGTGGCTCTGCACAAGTCCCTGACAGGAGGGGACAGCCGGGGGGGTCGGGCTGTGCTCCAGGGAACAGGGACAGGAGGAGAGGGAACGGCCTCAGGCTGGGCCAGGGCAGGCTCAGGGGGGACAGCAGCAGGAATTTCCCCATGGAAAGGGAGGTCAGGGATTGGAAATTCCCAGGGAGGTTTGGAGTGCCCATCCCTGGAGGTGCCCAAGGAATTGCTGGAGGTGGCACTGAGTGCTCTGGGCTGGGGACAAGGTGGGGATTGGGCACAGATTGGACTCAATGGTCATCTTGGATGCTTTTTCCAGCCTCAATAATCCTGGGATAATTGAGGATAATAATAACCTATGGCATTAACACCTTCTGGAGACATTCTGTCTCTTCCCACTGGCTCCCATTGCTCACTCAGGGCACACAGGACCAGGAGGGAGGTGCAGAAGGTGCAGAAGGAATTCTTTGCTAGCAGCTGAAGGGACCAGCTGGGTCTGGAAGTCTGCCTTAGGTGTTGTGTTCAGGCACTGGGAAATCTGAGAGGAGAGAAATGGGAATGTTTGGAGGGGAATTGCTGACTGCAGAACCCCTGCCTGTTGTCTGTGGGGAGCTGAGGATTCCAAGAGGTTTTTAAGACTTCCTAGTGCAGAAGTGAGGCACAGAAGGGTGCCAGGAGCAGAGCACAGTGTGACCCAATCACCACATTGCAGAGTGACAGCACCCAGCCAGGAGCTGCTGGTCCTTGCTGAGCACTTGGACAAGAGATCAAGGCAAAGAGGCTCAGAAGGGAGAGGCAGGATGTGAATAGGCCCAGCCTCTGCTTGGGTTTATGTCTGGAAAGGCTGACCTGGAACAGAGACTAGATAGATCAAAAGGAATAAAACAGGAATTTATTGAAAGGATTCACCTTGGGCAGTGCAAGAGCCTGGCCAGGGCTACACCCAAATCAATTCCAAGATGGATCCTGGTCATGAGTTTTTACACTTTTATAAATTTTAGTCGGTTTCCATATTGGGGTCAATTATCCACCCACAGCCCCAGGCTATGAAGTCTCACCCCCTTGGCTTCCCCCTTCCTCTCACTGTTGTTTCTGATTTTTGGGTACCAGTTGTCCTTGATTCTCCAGCTGGGAAGGGATGGTTTTGTCACTGCCCTGTGAAGAGAACTCACTAACACCTAATGTGAAGTGTCAGAGTTACACACTGAGCAGCAGAGAATCTGAAAAGTACAAAAGCTAAACCCAAGGTATGATTTTCCTGATGCCTTGGGTGATGTTTGCCCAGGCTGTGTGAGGGGTAAAAGCCATCACAGTCCTGCTGGAACAGGCAGGAGTCCAGTAAAAGAAAATATCCCCAAAGGCACAAAGCAGAGCACTCCCAGCACAGCCTCCCTCCCTGGCAGCTGCAGGGCACTGGACCCTGCTCCCTCGGGGCAGCCAGCTGGACTGAGCCCTCAGCAGCCCCTGCCAGAGCTGGAAGGGAGAACTGGCCCAAAAGAACTTGTTCCTGGCTCAGCTGTGGCCACCATCACCTCATAGATCACAGCAGACAGAAAGCTGATCACTTACAGAGATCATAAAACAGCTTTACAGCAATGTTTGCTTGTAATGTTTCCTTGTAATGTTTTATGGTGAGAGCAAGGCAATGCTCTGTGGTGTCTGTGCTCAGTTACTGAGCTAAACTTCAGATTATTGTTGAGATTAGGAAACTGTACAAGTGGGTGCTGAAGTCTTTCAGTTGGGAAGAAGTAAAACTTGAGGAGCAAGTATGTGTTGTAACTTAAATAGAATAAAGCTGGTCTGCCCTGGACAGAGCAGAAAATCACCAATGCTTGTTTTTTGGGGAGAAGGGGAAGAAAAGGAAAGAAAATGAAAAGAAGAAATAGGGACAGCTGGAGGAAAAAGAGGCAGTAATATGGAATAGCAGGATCAGGCAAGGCACTGCTCACTGGTGCTGCAAATTGGCTCAAGGAGCCCACAGCTGTAGGGTTTTTTTGGAAAGCAGTAGGTCTGGTGGTTGTGGCTTGTCTGAGGAGCCCAGAGGAGGAGAGGTTAAGCAGCCAGAAAGGATTGTCCTCGTTGCACACTGGCTGATTGAGTTTTGTGTTTGTTTGACTTGGAACTTTTGTTTCCAAACTTATAATTGGAAGGGTGCCCCTAAGTCTTGCTAAATAAACCTTGGCTTCATTTTTCCATCAGGCTGGCTGGGTGTCAGTGAGCAGGATGATTGTGGGTGACAGTGACAAATGGAGGTGGGCTGTGCCTGAGGCTGCAGAGCCCCAGCAGAGCAGCCTGGGCAGGTTCTGCTCAGGGCAGGGTGAGGAGGAGCCCATCTCCCACTGCCAGCTGCTGCTGCGACAGAATTCCAGACTGGTTTGGGTTGAGAGCTATCATACAAACCTCCTGTCCCACCCCTGCCATGGCAGGGACACCTCCCACTGTCCCAGGCTGCTCCCAGCCCCATCCAACCTGGCCTTGGGCACTGCCAGGGATCCAGGGGCAGCCACAGCTGCTCTGGGCACTCTGGTGGCCTCACCACCCTCCCAGGGAGGAATTCCTTCCTTAAGTATCTGATCTAAATCTACCCTCGTTCAGCTCAAGACCGTTGCCTCTTGTCCTGTCCCCCCATCCCTTGTAAAGAGTCTCTCTCCATCTTTCCTGCAGCTCCCTTCAAGGTCACAGTCAGGTCACCCCAAAGCTTCTCCTCTCCATGCTGAGCACCCTCAGCTCTCCCAGCCTGCAAATGCTTTGGAAGGCCTTTCAAAATACTTGAAATATTTCTGGCCTTCAAAGGATATCTGAGGGCCTTTTAGAACTCAAATGCAAAGGGTTGGTTTGCTTTTCTCAAAATGTGGCAAAGCAGAGCTCTGAAGGATGCACAGAGCTGGACCCATGGGAGTTCTCTGAGTGCCCTGGGAGCAGAGGGGTGACAGGGTCCTCTCATGATCATTCTCCAAGCCAAGGACAAACCACAGATTACCCCAAGGAAGGCTTTGAAACATCTGGCTGATGTAAATCACTGTTCTAGGTTTACTAATTCCTTATGGCTCAAGGGGACTCAAATCCTGCCCCACAGCTGGTACAAATCTCTGATCCTGCAGCACAGGATGTGTCTCAAGTGTTCCTTTATCCTCAGTCTCCTCCTGGCTCTTCCACAATGACTCTTTTTTTCCAATACAGCTTTCCTGGTATCAATCCCAGCCTGGGAGAAAAGGGATATTCAGGAGCATCAGACTGGTGTGGGAAGCCAAATCCATTCAGGACAGGGATGTCCCTGTCACCCCCATGAAATGCTTTCAGCAGTGAAGGGTCCCCAGGTGTCCCCTACTCCAGCATGAGGCAGGGAGGAAAATCTGTGCCTGGAATTCTGGTACCTCTGACCTCCTCCAGGAGCAGGAGGCTGGCAGAGCAATGACAAGACTTTTTTGTAGGAGGAAAGACTCTGGCCTAGATTTACATTCTGTTGGCCTCTTCATTCTCAGAATATCCACTTGCCTCTCCAAGGGGATGCACTGGTCTGGATCCAGCTCCAGAGGTGCCAGGGAAGGGCTGACCACAGGGAGACTTTTCCCAGAGTTAAAATCTGCTCTTCACCTGTGCTGGGGACAGCAGGACCTGCAGGTGTGGAGAAGAGCTCCTTGCCAGGATCACCACTTGGAATGCAGCAAACAACACAGGCTGGTGCTCTGATTAGCCTGATCTATCTGGGGAAGGCTTTTAATAAGCCTTTGGAGTCAGGGTGTTCCAG